GCTCACCTCAGAGGTAGATGGAGTTGGCTAAACGTGCTCAATTACGCAAAAAGAAAAATGCTTTGCTTGTTTATAGCCTTTATAAATGAGCCGTCACATTGCTAAAACGAATGTGTTCATTATTATATTAAAAAATGACGTGTTCAAAATCCCTTATAAAGATGACCATGATTCAGGAAGTTAAATTCAAAAAGGTTTATTTCCCTAATACAAAAAGAATCTAAAACAGCTGTTCGGACCAAAAGTAACTATCCCTTATTCTCTATATAAAATATAAAAGTATGATTTTGGTGGGCGCTCCACGCAAATCACACTCCTGTCCCTGGTCCGGTCTAGACTAACACAAGCATGAGGTTATTATAAGTAAATGTGCATGAAGAAGGGGGCGTGTCGTATCAGGCAGATGTCTGGTCCAAGGTCCGGCCTTTTCCTCCGTCTCGCCAAACCTAAACAGAAATCATTCACGCACTACCCCTCCCTAATTCTATCGATTTATTAGTTCCTTTGAGATAAGGCAGAGGGATCTCAAGGCTTCTCCTCCAGATTCTGGACTCCATCTCCTTCTTTCACAACTTGAAAGGATTAGCAGAATCCCCCCAGATTAACTATCATTAACTCACCCATGCACTTTGGACAAAATGGGACAGGGGAGTAGGGAATACAAGGTCTTTCTTTTTGCTTGGAGACAGACAGAGTTCAATTTCAGGTCAATCTAATTCACATCGCCTTTTAGCCTATATTTAATACAACATCATCTTACTGCTGAGTAACGAGTTTGGAAAAGGGAGAGGCTTTGACGGGAGAACTGAGACGTCTTTTGGCTGCGCTAATATCAAATAGCGTTGGTTTTCACACTTGCAATTGGTTTTTAAGTGTGTGTTTGTAAAAATGGGTAAACTGTTTCCAAGTGCCATCCATCCATCCATTTTCTTCCGCTTCATCCGTTGCCGGGTCGCGGGGGCAGCAGTCTAAGCAGAGACGCCCAGACTTCCCTATCCACACACACTTCCTCCAGCTCGTCCGGGGTGACCCCAAGGCGTTCCCAGGCCAGCTGAGAGACATAGTCCCTCCAGCGTGTCCTGGGTCTTCCCCGGGGCCTCCTCCCGGTGGGACGTGCCCGGAACACCTCCCCAGGGAGGCGTCCAGGAGGCATCCGGAACAGATGCCCGAGCCACCTCAACTGGTTCCTCTCGACGTGGAGAAGCAGCGGCTCTACTCCGAGCTCCTCCCGTGTGACTGAGCTCCTCACCCTATCTCTAAGGGAGGGCCCAGCCACTCTGCGGAGGAAGCTTGTATCCGCGATCTCGTTCTTTCGGTCATTACCCAAAGCTCATGACCATAGGTGAGGGAGGGAACGAAGATTGACCGGTAAATCGAGAGCTTTGCCTTTCGGCTCAGCTCCCTCTTTACCACAACGGTCCGATACAGCCCTCACTCGTGAACAAGACCCTGAGATACTTGAACTCCTCTACTTGAGGAAGGACCTCTCCACCCACCTGGAGAGGGCAAGGCACCTTTTTCCGGTCGAGCACCATGGCCTCAGATTTGGAGGTGCTGATTCTCATCCCAGCCGCTTTACACTCGGCTGCAAACCGTAGAAGTGCATGTTGCAGGTCCTGGTTTGTTGGAGCCAACAGGACAACATCATCCGCAAAAAGCAGGGATGAAATCCTTAGGTCCCCAAACCGGACCCCCTCCGGCCCCTGGCTGCACCTGGAAATTCTGTCCATAAACACAGTGAACAGAACCGGTGACACAGGGCAGCCTTGGCGGAGGCCAACGTGCACCGGGAACAGGTCTGACTTACTGCCGGCAATGCGAACACAGCTCTGGCTCCGGTCATACAGGGACCGGACGGCCCTCAGCAGAGGACCCCGGACCCTGTACTCCCGGAGAACCCCCCAAAGAACACCCCGGGGAACACGGTCGAACGCCTTCTCCAAATCCACAAAGCACATGTGGACAGGTTGGGCGAACTCCCATGAACCCTCGAGTATCCGATGGAGAGTATAGAGCTGGTCCAGTGTTCCGCGACCGGGACGAAAACCACACTGCTCCTCCTGAAGCCGAGATTCGACCATCGGCCGTAGCTTCCTCTCCAGTACCTTGGAGTAGACCTTACCGGGGAGGCTGAGGAGTGTGATCCCACAATAATTGGAACACACCCTCCGATCCCCCTTCTTGTAGAGAGGGACCACCACCCCGTGTGCCACTCCATTGGCACCGCCCCCGATCGCCACGATGTTGCAGAGACGTGTCAGCCAAGACAATCCCACAACATCCAGAGACTTAAGATAGTCAGGATGGATCTCATCCACTCCCGGAGCCTAGCCACCATGGAGGCTGCCAACCACCTTGGTGACCTCTGCCAGGGAGATAGAAGTATCCGCCCCAACATCCTCAGCCTCTGCCTCCGGGACGTGACGGGACGGGATTGAGGAGAACCTCGAAGTATTCCTTCCACCGCCCGACAATATCCCCAGTCGAGGTCAGCAGCTCTCCACCTGCACCGTACACGGTGTTGGCAAAGCACTGCTTCCCCCTCCTGAGACGCCGGATGGTTTGCCAGAATCTCTTCGAGGCCGACCGATAGTCATGCTCCATGGACTCTCCGAACTCCTCCCAGTCCCGGGTTTTTGCCTCTGCAACAGTCCGGGCTGTGGCACACTTGGCCTGCCGGTACTGGACAGCTGCCTCAGGAGTCCCCCGAACCATCATGGCTCGCTAGGACTCCTTCTTCAGCCTGACGGCATCCCTTACTGCCGGTGTCCACCACCGGGTTCGGGAGTTGCCGCCGGGACCAGCATCAGAGACCTTGCGACCACAGCTACGGGCCGCCGCATCGGCGATAGAGGAAGAGAACATGGTCCACTCAGACTCGATGTCCCCCTCCTCCGCCGGGACCTGGAAGAAGCTCTCCCGGAGGTGTGAGTTGAAAGTCCGTCTGACAGGGGGCTCAGCGAGACGTTCCCAGCAGACCCTCACTACACGCTTGGGTCTGCCAGGTCTGACCGGCTTCCTTCCCTGCCAGCGGATCCAACTCACGACCAGGTGGTGATCGGTTGACAGCTCCGCCCCTCTCTTCACCCGAGTGTCCGAGACACGCGGCCGAAGGTCAGATGATACGACAACAAAGTCTATCCTCAACCTCCGGCCTTGGGTGTCCTGGTGCCACGTGCACTGGTGGACACCCTTGTGCTCGAACATGGTGTTTGCGATGGACAAACCGTGACTAGTACAGAAGTCCAACAACTGAACACCACTCGGGTTCAGATCAGGGGGGCCGTTCTTCCCAATCACCCCTCTCCAAGTGTCACTGGCATTTCCCACATGGGCGTTGAAGTCCCCCAGGAGAATAACGGAGTCCTCGGGCGGTGCACTGTCCAGCACACCTCCCAAGGACTCCAAGAAGGCCGGGTACTCTGCACTGCTGTTAGGCCCGTAGGCCGTCACAACAGTGATAGACTTGTCCCCCACCCGGAGGCGAAGCGACGCAACCCTCTCATTCACTGGGGAGAACTCCAACACGTGGCGGCTGAGATGGGGGGCTATGAGAATGGCCACCCCCGCTCGCCGCCTCTCCCCGTGGGAAACACCAGAAAAGTGGAGCGTCCAACTCCTCTCAAGGAGTTGGGTTCCAGAGCCCAAGCTGTGTGTGGAGGTGAGGCCGACTATCTCTGGTGGTGGGTCCACAGGAGGGACTGCCCACGTCATCCCTTCGGGCTGAGCCCGGCCGGACCCCGTGGGCTAAGGCCCGGCCACCAGGCGCTCGCTTGCGAGCCCCGACCCCAGGCCTGGCTCCAGGGTGGGGCCCCGGCTGCGCAATACCGGGCTTCGGACTGCGCTTCGTCTGACTCGTCACCTGAGACCTGTCTGCCATGGGAGACCCTACAAGGAGCATGAAGCCCCAGACAGCATAGCTCCCAGGATCATGCGAGTACTCAAACCTCCCCACCACGTTAAGGTGGCAGTCCAGGGGGGACATTTGTAACGCCCGCGTAGGTCCTTACCTTAGTGTCACTCAGGAGGGGTGACATTCTGTATTTTTCAACCAATTTTGTGTACCAGGTCTGTGTTGTGTTTTGTTTCATAAGTCTCCAGGTACTGGAGCTATTATTGTTTTGCCATTGGTGGCGCACTTGGGGACTCTATTTAGGAGTGACGGGCACGAGCGCGGGGGCGCGCGTGTTCTGACGTCAGACGCCGACTTGGAGTCAGGCCAGCACCTCTACCTGGAGTTTTTGTGGATTATAATCTCTGTTGGAGTATCGTTCTGTTGGATTACCGTGTGCAGAGGGATCAAACGAGACTGTGGATTATCTCTCCATGGTTGCTGGTGGGCTCCAGGACCCGGTTTTGTGAACCTTGGTGCATGCGCGGGGCCGTGAGTACACCGTGGCTTCACCACTGACACTGACTCTTTCTTTTTGTTTCCACATATTGAGTTCTTAGTGGCTGTTTGTGATCGTATTATGTTTTGTTGTGTGGGGTCGCGCTCGAGCGTGGGGGGGTGTTGGCGCAGTGTGAGTTGACTGGGATCAGTAATAAATAGCCAGTCTTGTGCCAAATGCATGTTCGGTATCTGTGCTTATTTCACCCCTGCTGATGTGACATCTCCTCTCGCGACCCTTTTAAAGCGTTGTAGCTCTGGTGTCTTGAAAAGTTAGGCAAATTGTTACAGACTGGTGGCCTGTACGAGGACCGCGGAGTTTCTGTACATCAGCGGCGTTGGTGTCGAACTTTTACGCACGGGTTACGCGCACTACCTTCCGCGCGCACACGCATATGTTTCATTCACTTGCCTGGCTCCCCTAAATCCCTCACGCATTAAGCCACATTCACACCAACAAAGTATGGCAGATCCAGTCCAGAATATACTGGATGAGGACAGAGGAGATGAGAATGCAGTAGATGACACACCAGTACTGCATCCTTCTTATCATGTCACTCTTAGACAAAATCAAAGTGGAATGTCTGAGCTCACGAGCCGGTTAGAATCCATGTATTTAAACGAGGCAGAAGACGAGAATGACGAGGCGGGGAATGACATGGGCATGGAGAGAGTGTTTGAGGAGCTCAATACATTAAAGGGGACCGTAGATGGCCTGGAGACTCGTCTTAAAGAGACAGTGGACAGTGCTCTGAGCAGAGAGGAGGGGCTAAGAGCGGCAATGGATGTGATGGCAGGAGAATTCAAAAAGTATGTGGATGGAAAGCTACAGCGTTTTGATGAAGTTGTCACAGACTGTCTATTACGCAGGGACCAGAGGTGGACGGAGGAATTAAAAAGGATCCAATCGAAGTCCCGGATGTCCTGGGGACCCGTTAGTTATTCTACGCCTTCCATCCCTGCACATTCTTCACACCGGCGACTAAGCGCAGACGAGACCTGTCCCACAGTACCAGCAGCCGCAGCCAGACCCCCCATTAGAATGGAGTTTCCTCAGTTCGGAGAGTCGCGAAATTCTTCTGACGTCACGGACTTTGTTGAGCAGTGTGAGAACTTTTTAACCCTCAGACCACTGAGTGACATAGAGCTGATGGGAACGCTCAACACAGTTTTAAAGGGCCCTGCACGCAGTTGGTGGTTGGCCGCCCGCAGTAAAATCTGCAACTGGACGGACTTTAGGAAGTCCTTCCTAGAGGCGTTCTTACCCATGGACTATCAGGCGGAGATTGAAGATCAGCTCAGGACCAATGTGCAGGCCCCAGGCCAATGCCTGAGAGATTTTGCGTACGACCATCGAGCTCTCTGTCTAAAGTGGAGACCAGATATGACGGAGGCAGACATGGTGCGTCGCATCCTCAATGCTTGTAACCCTAGGCTGGCTAGCGGGCTGCGAGGCACAGTTACCACCGTTGAACAGCTGGTGAAGGTGGGCTCTCTTATTGAGAAAGACTGGAGCAACACAAAGGACTATTGGAGCAGAGTTCAGCAGTCACATCCTCCTAAAAGGGTGGGCAAAAAGAACGACCATGGTCCAAACCGGAGCTCCGGTGGCGACGTCGCTACAGCTTTGGGCGAGCCGTCTCTCCTTGTCGTGCCGGTCTACCTTCGCGGTTCCAAAGGCGATGCGGTACTCGATTCGGGATGCACTTACTCCCTCATGAGCCACTCACTATGGAAGGCCATCAAGAAGGACGGAGAGATTCTAGCGTAGAGTGAAATCCCAAAGTTCGTAATGGCCAATGGTCAAGAGAACAAGGCTCCTGGGAAAGCCACCTTGCTCTTTCGTCTCCACGATTTCCATGGCATGCTCGGAGTCCACGTTCTTGCTGACGACAACCTCTGCATGCCACTTCTCTTGGGACTCGACTTTATGTCCATGTGCCAAGTAACTCTGAAGCCACATTGTAGACGTTACATAATGCCGGGTGGCAAAGAGTATTCATTTCTCCCCAAAGTAAGAGCAACGCTGCACTGGAGTCACAAGCCACCTTCAGTGAACTTTTACGTTGCCGAACAAACCCACACTGTCATTCCCCTCCTGCAGGCTCAGCCAGAGGTGGTGCGGCCACTGCTGCAGAAGTGGTCCAATGTCTGGACTGAGGCTACTGGAGCCACACAAGTTAAAAAGCACAAGATAATAACCACTGATGAAGTACCAGTGCGGAAAAGAGCCTACAGAGTATCGGCCCATAAGCAAGCTGTTATCGAAGAACAAGTCCAAAAAATGCTTGACAATGGTGTCATTGAGCCATCCGCATCCCCATGGTCCTCTCCAGTGGTCCTCACTCCGAGAAAGGATGGAACTCCACGATTCTGCGTGGACTACAGGGGCTTAAATGAAAAGACGAGGCATGATGCGTATCCCATGCCCCTGATTCATGAGATTCTAGAGTCCCTGGAAGGCGCTCAGTACTTTAGCTCCCTGGATTTAAAGAGTGGGTACTGGCAGGTTGCTATGGACGATGAGAGCAAGCTCAAAACAGCCATGACCACCCATCTGGGCTTGTTTCAGTTTAAGGTCATAACTTTCGGTCTGCGCAACGCTGGGGCTACGTTCCAGCGACTGATGGAGATCGTCCTAGGCGAGTTGAGGGGAAAAGTCTGTTTCGTATACATTGACGACATTATAGTCTTTTCCAAAACTGAAGAACAGCACCTCCATGACCTTGATGCAGTGTTTGCCAAGCTCCACCATGCAAACCTGACGCTCAACGTAAAAAAATGCTGTTTGTTTCAGCGCCAGCTCACCTTTCTCGGCCACCTTGTCTCAGAAAAGGGAGTAGAGGTGGATCCCACCAAGGTGTCGGCTATCATGGAGTTCCCTCCACCGACAGGGATAAAAGGTCTCCAACGATTCCTGGGTATGGTCGGATGGTACCACAAGTTCATTCCGCGATTCGCTGACATTGCTGCACCCCTGAACCATCTAAAAAAAAAGGATGTGCAATGGGAGTGGTCTGCGGAGTGTCAGGCTGCCTTCGACCGACTCAAGGTCCTGGTTCAATCACCACCAGTCCTAGCCCAGCCACAACCTCAGCTCGGTTTCCAAGTCCACTGTGATGCCAGTGATGTGGGATTGGGAGCCATTCTCACACAAGAAATTGACGGTGAGGAGCGTCCTGTGGCGTTTGCATCCCGAGCTCTTCAGGGCGCCGAGGTCCGATATTCCACCGCTGAGAAAGAATGCTTGGCAGTCGTGTGGGCAATAGAAAAGTGGAAGCACTTCCTTGAGGGCACCACATTTGACGTGTACACTGACCACAGTGCCCTGGCCTGGGCGTTCAACTGCCCCAAGACATCCTCACGCCTCACCCGCTGGACATTACGTCTTCAAGCGTTTACCTTCAGAGTCCACTACAAAAAAGGATGCTGCAACGTGGTCCCTGATGCCCTCTCACGTGCCCCCATTCCCCAAGCTGGACAGGTTTGCCTGACTGTGCCAAAAACATATTGGTCAGACATCCCTTGTTCCCTGCAGGAGATTGCTAAGGCCCAAGAGGCGGACCCTTCCTGTCAAGAGCTCGGGCCGTCTGACCGCCAAGCAAGCCCGGGTCGCATCCATTACCAACTCCAACAGGACGTGTGGTACAGAGGCGTACCTTCCAAGTACGGAGGTTTTAATTACCAAGTGGTGGTTCCGGCCGCGTTGGTGCCCCAGTTCCTGTTGTACTATCACCACAGTCCATTTGGTGGACATCTGGGCAGGATGAAAACCCTTTTGAAGATCCTCCAGGTGGCCTGGTGGCCATCTGTCCGCAACGATGTCTGGCAACACGTCCGTACGTGCACTATCTGCCAGCAGTACAAATGTTCCCTTGGAAAGCCGGCCAGGCTCCTGCAGTCTACTGAGGTCAAGGTTCCGGGGGAAATGATCGGTGTGGACTTCATGGGACCATTCCCACTCAGCAAAGACCGCAACTCTGTGCTAATGGTAGTTGTGGACTACTACAGCAGATGGGTCGAGGTGTTTGCTTTGAAGGATGCCAAAACCCCCAAAGTTTGCAAGGTCCTGAAAGATGAGATTTTTACCCGCTGGGGAGTTCCGAAGTTCATGGTGTCTGACCGAGGCCCTCAGTTCACAAGCCATCTGTTGGCCCAACTGTGTGAAACCTGGGGCGTCACCCAAAAACTCACCACAGCCTATCACCCCCAAACCAACATGACAGAGAGTTAATCGCACCCTCAAGACCATGATTGCCTCTTATGTTGGGAACCAGCACCAAGACTGGGACAAGTGGCTGCCTGAGTTTCGGTTGGCTCTTAACACTGCGGTACATGAGACCACAGGCGTGACACCTGCCATGCTGACTCTGGGTCGAGAGCTTCTGGGGCCACTTGAGAGACTTGTTCACAGAGCTCCTGCTCCACATACACCCGCATACCAGACTCTTCAGACACACACTCAGTTAAGGGAGGAGGTTGCGAGACACGTTGGCGCGTCCAAAGCCAGACAAGCCAGATATTATAATGCACGACGCAGGGATGTACACTTTGCTGTCGGTAGTCTGGTCTGGGTTAGGTCGCATCCGTTGTCCAAAGCTTCTGCAAGATTCTCTGCCAAACTTGCACCCAAGTGGTTAGGGCCGGCTAGGGTAGAGAAAAGCTTGGGACCTGTAAATTACCAAATTTGTTGGTTGTCCGATAAGAAGAAGGTGGATACTATAAATGTGGTAGACATGAAGCCTTATTTTGGTCCCGTCAAGCCGCTGGCTGGGGGGGGGGGAATGTAACGCCCGCGTAGGTCCTTACCTTAGTGTCACTCAGGAGGGGTGACATTCTGTATTTTTCAACCAATTTTGTGTACCAGGTCTGTGTTGTGTTTTGTTTCATAAGTCTCCAGGTACTGGAGCTATTATTGTTTTGCCATTGGTGGCGCACTTGGGGACTCTATTTAGGAGTGACGGGCACGAGCGCGGGGGCGCGCGTGTTCTGACGTCAGACGCCGACTTGGAGTCAGGCCAGCACCTCTACCTGGAGTTTTTGTGGATTATAATCTCTGTTGGAGTATCGTTCTGTTGGATTACCGTGTGCAGAGGGATCAAACGAGACTGTGGATTATCTCTCCATGGTTGCTGGTGGGCTCCAGGACCCGGTTTTGTGAACCTTGGTGCATGCGCGGGGCCGTAAGTACACCGTGGCTTCACCACTGACACTGACTCTTTCTTTTTGTTTCCACATATTGAGTTCTTAGTGGCTGTTTGTGATCGTATTATGTTTTGTTGTGTGGGGTCACGCTCGAGCGTGGGGGGGTGTTGGCGCAGTGTGAGTTGACTGGGATCAGTAATAAATAGCCAGTCTTGTGCCAAATGCATGTTCGGTATCTGTGCTTATTTCACCCCTGCTGATGTGACATCTCCTCTCGCGACCCTTTTAAAGCGTTGTAGCTCTGGTGTCTTGAAAAGTTAGGCAAATTGTTACACATTTTCCAAGTGTTCCCATGGAAAATGTTTCAGGAGAAATCTGATCAATGTGGGTCAAAAAAGGATTTGACTGACGTGTTCAAAATTTGGTACAGAAATCCGACAAAGATTCTCCAAGTTTAACATCTGTATTTAATTTATCTTGACAATCAGATACAGAACATTCAAACAAAAGAGAGCTCCTAAAACTATGCTATGCTGTCCTTCTCTGGCCCTGCGCTCACTGACTCCAAGCCTCCAGCCCAAGCATAAAAAGAGCAGATGTCCAGGAAGAAGGGGGCGTTTTGTATCAGGCAGCTTCCGGTCCAGGGTCCGGCCTTTTCCTTCGTCTCGCCAAACCTAAAACAGAAATCATTCACACACACACTACCCCTCCCTAATTCTATAGAAATATTACTTCCTTGAGATAAGACAGGAGGCTTTTCAAGATCCACCTACTTCTTCAAACAACGAAAGGATTAGCAGAATCCCCCCAGATTAACTATCATTAACTCATATTTCCGCACTTTTGGACTACCAAGGAACAAGGGGAGACCAGGTCTTTTTGCTTGGGAAAGAGACAGAGTTCAATTCCGGGTCAATCAAATTCACATCTGCTTTTAGTCTATATTTAATACAACATCAATTACAGATTTACATTTTAGAAAAGCCCTACTATTATTTACTATTCATGTTTAATTTGGCCCAAGATCAAGGGAATACATATTTTATTACCATATTGCAATGAGCTGGTTTATTTGCCACTCTAGATACATTTTAAAATGACAAAACACACATAAATAGACCGAAAATCTTGGAATTCCGCAGGAAGCTAACCATACCCTAAACCAGGGGTGTCAAACCGGTCCTCAAAGGCAGGTTTTAGTTCCAACCTAAGCAGGGGCACATCAGACACCACCCATAAGCCATGGTTATAACAATAGACTGTAAATTTAACAGACGCAGTAACGCCTAATTCCTCCGTTGAATTTAAAGAAAACCACATAAAAATCACACATACATACATGTAAGTGTAAAATAGTATAACCATTTTACTCAATTGGTGTTAAAAGCCAAGGCGATTCCACAAGGTACGAAAGACTATTTTCACGGGAACGGGAAGCGCCGCCTCCTGGTACTGGATCACTTCCTGTTTGTGCCGGTTCTATGCAAAAATGGCTCCAAAATTTTTTCCAACGTTAGTCAGTTCTTCGCAAGCCCTGGTGATCCAAGATGGCGCCCTATTAAAATGAATGGCTCAGTAGCGCATGGGACTTCAGGGGGGCTGGGAGATTAGCAGAACTCGCCTATATTTGGGCATTGTCTGGTCCTCCCGGTTCTGCGCAGCGGACGGGCTCCTATGATGCGTTGCGCCAAATACACGTGTGGTGCTCTCATGCACGTGCACAGAGGGGCTCGGCCGCGCTTTGACCAATCAGAACTGCTGATCAGAGCAGCAGTTGAGCGGAGTCAGAGCGGGAAGGAATCGAGCAGAGTTTGTGCCAGTAAAGTGTGGATTTAAAGAAAACCAAAGGATTTAAGAAGAAAAGAAGTCGAGCTGTTTTAGTTTACATTGAGTTCTATGAGACTTTTTTCTGGGTAGCCCCCGTGAATTTAGTCTCCAGTACCACGGGCGCCCCCTGTGCCCGTGGGTGGGACAGCTATAAGCTAGTAATACACTATCCAGTTATTGATACATTGGACCAGTACGACAGATTGCTCCCCATACAACACATTACCACACTAACAAATCATTACCACAGATACAATACATTACAACATCTTACAACACTTACAGCACTTTACAACACATTCAGCACCTTACAACACATTCTTCTTCTTCTTTTATGCAGCCACTGCCAATGGCTTCAGCCATTGTACCATTTCTAGTTATTATAGATCCATGGTTCCTCGGGGTCCTGTGTGAGTTAGTCCTGTATTGTCTTTATTTGTTTAAATAAAGCTTTTCAAACTTCAGCGCCGGGTTGTGCACAGTGACATCACTCAGTACTATGTGTGTGTTGTGATGATCTGTTGTCATGGCATCAGTCACTATGGCAAAACGCAGACCTCATGCTTCAGTGAAGCCCCGCCCCCGTCGCCGCAAGCGAGCAGGGAAGGTGAAGAAGCAGCGCAGGAGGAAGCGCCGCTCATAATGACTGACACTGAATAAACTTTTAGCATCCAGCTTTTGTTTTTGCCTTTTTTTTCAAACCTGTAAAAAAAAAACCTGTTTTCTTAAATTATTAATTTAAGAAAACCTGTTTTCTTAAATTATGCTACAATTTAAGAAAACATTTCTCAAAAGGGTTTAAGAAATAAGTAAATAACACTTGAAATGTATATTGTTATTATAATAACAACATTATTTTTATTTTTTCCAAGGGATTTTTTGTTGTTGTCTTTTTAAGTTTTTGAACACAATCATACTGGGTCATGGTTTTACTTCTGGTAAGTTTTGACCGTCCTTGTCTACCTTTATTAAACTACAGTATCACGGTTAAAAGGCACAGTATGCTCCACCCACGCCTTGACAACTCTAACCACAAGCAGAGGGAGAACTTGCAGCTGCTCATCCACAGCCTCCTCTGACATCTGCAGCAAAACCTCTTTTAACAACTGCTCAATTTAGTAGAAATATTGCTTTATGAAGCTCTTTGTGTTCCTTGTATGTGCATTGTGCTATACAAATAAATACTTTTCTATATCATCTAAACATGTTAATGTCTTTTCAACCAAGCCGAGCACTGCGCCCGCAAAACGCCAGACGTCTGGTGGTCCCTAAGGTTTCAAAAAGCACTGTCGGTGGCAGAGCATTTAGCTACCAAGCTCCTTTACTGTGGAATAAGCTCCCCACGCACGTTAAACGGCTTGGTTTAGCTGTGCATAAAACTGAAGGATTTTCTCCCCTTAGTGTATAAGTTATGGAACTGGATTCAGTTTCAGTTCGATTATTGTATAATGCAATTACATAAAACACATGATTAAACATGAGTTAGAAAAGCCTGAATTAGCCAAGGAGGCCATTGTGCGCTCTGCAGAGGAAGTGATCGGCCGCAGCCTTCCATCGCTGCAGGACCTGTACGTCGCCCGAGCTCGAGGCCGGGCTGGTCGTATCACAGCCGACCCCTCTCACCCTGCACATGGACTATTCCAACCACTCCCCTCAGGCAGGAGGCTGCGGTCCATCAGGACTAGAACCTCCCGCCACAAGAACAGTTTCTTCCCCTCTGCTGTTGGACTCTTGAACACTTCTTAACCTGTCCCCCCGCCCTTTATAAAGTCACTTTACTGCCCATCATACGTCACTTTACTTCACTGTACTGCTGTCACCTTACATTGTGTGCACCATGTGCACTTGTATATTGTAAATAGTAACTGTAACTCTATTTTAAATTTAAATTTATTCTTTAGAAGTGTTTTTTATTCTTATTTTTATCATCTCTTTTTGACTGTTGCACTGAGCCAAAGCAATTTCCTAGTCTGTGACCTCCTGTTACTTACGTGGCAATAAAAATGATTCTGATTCTGATTGTAGTCCCCTCGCCGTGATGTTAAAAAGTCATTAAAATACATTACATTACAAAATTACAAGACAGAGACAACGTAAATCAAGACTAACATTATAGTGTTGACACATTCAAGAATACACTATTTACAAGACTCAAGCATATCGTACATCAGTTAATGAGGGCAGGTGTATGTGTTTACCGTCCATTCCTTTAGGTGCTGTGTAAAAGCCCTGCATGTGCTCTGCTGTTTAACAGTGGTAGTGAGTTCCACTCTGGTACCTCTAACAGACCAGGCAGACTGACAGAAGGTGTTACTACGCAGAGGGATCACACGGTCGCCTCTCACGGAGCCTCTAGTGAGCCGCTCACTACTGTTCCTTTGACTTATTAAACCCGTGAGTGGAGCGGGAGCCAAAATGTACATTAAAGGTAGATTTGAAAATTATGAAGATCTGGCCAACTTAGAAAGGAATACTTTTCCAAAATGAAACAGTGATGATAACATTTTGCCTTTTTAGCCATTACTTTGATGGCTTTCTTAGATAAGATTTCTAGTGCTCTTAAAGTAGTCTGTTGAGCTTGACTCCAGCTTGTTAAGCAATAACTAAAATGACAACAAATCATTTAGTCCAGAAAAAGTTTTGCGGCCTCAGTTGACTGGTTGTGTGTTGCTATGGGTTACCATGGAAACAATCTCTCCATTTGTGGCTATCTTGTCTCCATGGCAACAGCAATTTTCTATATGACATCATCGCCTTATGGAAAATAGCTTGTGAGGGTGGCCCGCTGTGAGGGCCAAAGTAGTTCAACAAACAGAGTCCAAGACCAGAATGCAGAAGAAGGACAATCGACTCCCTATGGAGGAAAATCGACTCCCTATTGAGGAGAGGAGGAGGAGGAGGAAGGAACATCAGGACTTTCTGTTGGCTGAGAAGATGAGACGTCAGGAAGAACAGAATCAAAGTGTTCTGGAGGCAGCCAAAGAAAAGATATTGCAGCAGTCTGCTCCATACAGGGACCTTCAGAGGATTGTGCTTGTGTCCAAAGTGACCAAGGACAATCAGGCCCTATGCCAACTTCAGCAAGAGAAGAAGGCCAGTGAGAAGGCCAACAGGACCGCTGTGTCCGAATATATAGGAGGACAACTCCCAATAAACAAGGATGTCCGAAAATATGAGCAGCAGATCGAGGAGCGCAAAGAACGCGAGTGCCAGGCTGCACATTCTTATAATGCCTTGATTGCGGAAAAAAAGGCTCAAGCGAAGAGATGCACTCCCCATGTCCCGCCTCCTCAGGTCCAAAATGATGTGTGTGCTGACAAAAGAAGCACTAAAAAAGCAACATATAAGATGTATTTAGAGAGTGTGGATTTGAAACGCATACGACAGCAGAGAGAGCAGCAGCAGAGTGCAGAGACTGAGAGGCAGTGGCGACGCGAGCAGGCCGAGGTCGACGCGCGTCAAGAGGGGTACCTCAAGCAGACGCAAGAAAGATTCAAACAGCAGCAAGTGCATCGAGAGGAGGCCACTCTTAGACTGGCTCAATTAAAAAAAGAGCAGGAGGCCAAGGCTCGCCAAGATGAGGAGGAGCGAAAACTCCAGGTCTGGCTGTTTGAGCGCAACTTGGATGACAAGCCGCAGAAAGAGACTGCGAAACAAATCACAGAGTTCTTGAGCACTCAGGTGGAACACAAACTGCAGGAGAAGAGGGCAGAACAGCTTCGTCAGATCAACCTCTTGCGGAAGGAAAGAGAGGCGCGAGAACAGGACGAGCTAGAGTCACAGCGCAAACAGGCGCAAAGACGGCAGAAGGCGGAAAACGCTGGTGCACTTTAACAGCTCTTTGGTTTCACAGAAAGTAATTCTGAAGGCACGCCACAAAAAACAGGAGCTAGAGGAGAAGGAGAGACAGACTCAGATGAACATGGACAAAAAACAGCAACATCTGGATCATGTAGAACAGGCTATCCAAACGGCAGTGGCTGAGGATCGCATCATTCTTCCTCTGCTGGCCCAAAGGCAGCGGTTCGAGGAAGACGATTGCCTTCACTATTGTCTAAACCACAATGTCTATGCGATGAAGCACAAGCGGATGTGTGGGGCCCTCAAGAACATAGAGATGGGGCACCTAGGTTCTAGAGTTCAAGAACAGGAGAAAATAGAGCTGATGCATGAGGCAGCCCGACCAGTCAAAGAGGCACAGACTCCACCAGAAAAGGCCCCCAAAGAAATCCCAGGCTGCATTCCTGAGCATCGCCAAAACACACCTCCAAACCTAAATGTGTTGAGCAGGTGAAGCGGGAGCGCACCAAACAGCCCTCTCCTTACAGTACATACGTCTCAGCAGCTACATCTGTCCACAAGGTTAACCCTGCTCCTAAAAAGCTTTTAGCCTTGAGAACCTCTGGGAAATCAGCTCTACCCACAAAGCCGATTGTCACTAACAGAGTGGTCTTGACGGAAAAAATCAAGCAGGATCAGAGACGTCCACCTGAGCGGGTGAAGCTACCTCCAATTCAGGGACCAGTGAAGGTCAGTGCAGTCCCGGGGCTGCAGCCAGACTCTCTAAGGGTGATGCGTATAATAGACCCTCTCTTCCTCCCTTGAGACAGAGGCTTCCCGCAGCAACACAAGAGAGTAGGTCTAAAAATCTGATCCAGCCCTTTATCCCAGACCCATCAAATGACCCAGCTGTCGCTATTGAAGTCACCAAACTTATTAGCACTCCCCATCATTTGATAAATTCTAGAGTGTTGAAGAATTCCAAGACCCAAGGGGGTTCCTATTAAGGAACTCGGCAAAGCAGTGGCTGTACTCCGAGCTCCCATGTGACTGAGCTACTCACCCTTTGGGCAAAATGTAACACCCCACGCTATGAAGGAAGCTCATTTCGACCACTTGTGCCGGTTATCTCCTTTCGGTGATTACCAAAGATTGACCGGCAAATCAAGAGCTTTCACTGTGCACGTTGCATTGATCTGGCTGCCAATCTCACACTTCATGAATTTTCATGAACGACCGCCGCGCCTCATTAACCGGTTGAAACCGGTTAACCGCGTAGTTTAAAATGTTCCGCGTTCTTTGAAATAACAGCCCTTTCGAGCTGCATACTTTTCATAAGTGCAGCTAAGCGTTCTACTAGATCAGAGCCGAAACAGCGGCGCCAAAACCCGCAACAGCTTTGGCACCGGTGTGCAACTTTGACGGACTAATAACAGATGGGAGAGATGATGTGTGTTTGTGACGTGGAGGGGGGAAAATGTGTGTGTGTATGTGCGCACGCTAGTGTGCATGCAGAGTCGGCCCAGAGTTTACTGATACATTGACGCACACAGCTAGAGACGGGCCCGCTCGTCACATCATGCAAATAGGGCTTAAAATAGCGTTATTAAGAGACCTCCCTTCTCCCCCTTTTCTTTTTTTAACCGACGGCTTTGACCGGTCAACGCTGTGACGGTCAACCACCGGTTAAACGGTCACCAATTTACATCCTTACCCTGAGATACTTCTCCACTTGAGGAAGGACCTTTCCACCACCCTGGAGAGTTAAAGGCACTTTCCAGTCGAGCACCATGGCTCCTCGTAAGAAAGAACTGAGGCTTGCTCTGACATTGCTTACCTGTGAGACAGCCTGACAGTTTCATCTACCTTCTGGTCTAATCAGGTTTTGACAGAAGGAAGGTGGAACCTAACTAGCCCTGACCGTAGGAATCAAGTTAACAGAGAAACCATAACCTGACTATCAGGGGATCACATCCCGGTAATTATCAGTGGTACCAACAGGGTGATGTCAGTTTGACAAATGCTGACATAACCCTCTCTTTTTTTGGCCTCTTTTTCATCACTACCTTAAACAGATCCTAACAGTTATTAGGAATTGGTTAAGGTAAACCAGTCCAGAAAGGCTGTGGCTGCATGTTTTCTATCACACTCAGAAGGAGCACAGCAGACTCCACCCATTTCCTCAAATCTTAAGTTTAAGGGTGAACTCATCCCATTTTCTCAAGTGAGTTCAGTCTTAAACTGAAGATTCGAGGCAATGGGTAGCTTCTGCTCTGCTCCTCCTGGGTCTGATAGAAAACCTGCAGCAACACAGTGGTCCTTTCGGGACCGGTTTGGACACCTCTGGTCAAGGGCATCGCACCTGCTGTCAAAGCCTGATTAGACCGGAAGGGAGATGAAACTGTCAGACTGTTGGTAAACAATGTCAGGCCTCAGACCTGACAAGCCTCAGACCCAGGTTTTAAAACAATCATTGACCCTTCAGACTCCACCCATTTCTTCAAGTGAGTTCAGTCTTAACCAGAGTCTGCTCTGCTTCTCCTGGTTCAAAATGATAAATAAATGAATAAATAAATAAATGTCACATTCTCCCAATAATTATTAAGATAACACAACAAATCATGATATTTAATAAATATATATTATTATTATACAACGTTTTTTGGTTCCAAACAAAATAATAAAGCTTTATTATTTTTCTGTTCGTTCAAAGGTCAAGATTAAAATAAATATATTTTCATTATTTAACTGCAGCTTTGTGCCCAAAGAAATAATAAAATCATTTTTTTTCTTTCCCTGTCTATTTATTTTCTTATTTTATTTTTAATTATGTTCTGTTTTATTATTTCACGACATATTCTTTCCTCGTGTCTTGATCCAATCCAATCCAATCCACTTTATTTATATAGCACATTTAAACAACAAAACGTTTCCAAAGTGCTGAACAACAATAACAATAAAACAAAAACAATACAAATGAGCTCCACCAAATAAATAGAAATAAAACAATTTAAAAGACTGAATAGAAATAAAAACACATTAAAAACTACAAATAAAAATAAAATTCAATAAAATAGATAAAAAGACACAGGGGGACCACACAACTTACGCGGTGCTAAAAGCCAAAGAATAAAAGTGAGTCTTAAGACGGGATTTAAAACACTCCACGGTGGGGGCCGTACGGATGTGGAGGGGCAGAGCGTTCCACAGCTTAGGGCCGACAATGGAGAACGCTCTGTCCCCTCTGGTTTTACGGTTCGTCTTCAGAACCACGAGCTGGAGCTGGCCCTCAGACCTCAAAGCGCGAGAGGGCCGGTAAATTTGGATGAGGTCTGTAATATACTGAGGGGCCAGTCCATTCAAAGCTTTAAAAACAAACAATAAAATTTTAAAATCAATTCTAAAATTAACAGGGAGCCAGTGCAAGGACGCAAGGATTGGGGTAATATGTTCGCGTTTTTTGGTCCCTGTTAAGAGTCGTGCCGCAGCGTTCTGGACTAACTGCAAACGAGAGAGTGCTTTCTGGCTAATTCCCGAGTAAAGTGCGTTACAGTAGTCCAGACGGCTTGAAATAAAAGCGTGCACGACTTGCTCAAAAAGATTAAAAGATAAAAAGGGCTTAACTTTAGATAAAAGACGAAGATGATAAAAACCCGATTTTAAAACGCCATTAATCTGTTTATCAAATTTAAAATCACTGTCTATGGTGACGCCAAGGCTGGTGACCTTGGGATGCAAATAGTTTTGGCGTGATCCCAAGCCCGTGAGGTTACAATCCAAATTCTCCAGAATTTTCTGATTTTCAGAATTTTTAATGATAATTAAATGCAAATGAAGGGGGCGGGCCACAGACAGCGAGACGAAAGCAATCGCCTCGTGCAGACTGACCAGGCCAAACCGTGCTAAACAGTGCTGCTATTTGACTTCCCTATGGAAGCCCGTTTCCGCCATGTAAAAAAAAAAAAAAGCATACGGAAAGTCAAAATTTTTAGTTTAAAACTCAAAATTACGACTTTAAAAGTCAAAATTACGACTTTAAAAGTCAAAATTGAGTTTTCAACTGCGCATGTGCAGTTGAAAACTTGTATGTGTTGTTGTCTGGAACGGTCGCTGGACATCCTTCACCTGCAGATTATGTGAAGATATTGCCTACAGTGACCACTGCATCCATGAAGTAGCCAGAAATAATGTTGTTTGATTGATTCTGTAAAACGTTCCTGTTTAAGCCCCAGACCGCGGTCGTAGGACGCAGGGAGGAGCTGTCTTTTTATTTATTTAATTTAAATTCAATTTACATATATACAACATTTAAATCAAACGCCTTCTTATTTCGACATAGAAACAAATAATGTGAGCAATATGTTTTTATAATAAATCAAAGGAAAATGAGCCATCGAGACATTCCAATCCAATCTGCTATAGACCACTCTGACCAGACGCTGAGAGGGGTCCACACGGAGCGAGTATTTCCACGGCTGAAATGATGCGCTTTCTACGTGTTGAGTACGGGGTTTTATTCATGCATCTATGAGCGACAGTAGCTCAGTTGGTAGAGCATTGGCCTTTGGGCCTGGAGGTCGTGAGTTCGAATCCCACCATGGGACCTACTCCAACTGCTCCCACTGATGACTGCTGTCGTTGTGTCCTTGGGCAAGACACTTAACCCCACGTTGCCTGAAGCCCCCGCTGAAAGATCAAGGCTGTATCACAACTGATGGAGCAGCCATCTTCCTGTGGACCCACCCCCTGCAGAAGATCAGTGAGGGACTGGTGCTATGAGCATTGGGTGGCAGCTCTCATTGCCACCCCCCCAACCCAGAAATGGACAAATAAAGGGGTTGAAAATGAAATGAAATGAAAATCTATAATGGTTTCAACTCCCTTTTCAAAGACCCTCACTGTTATCTGCGGAGTTATTTCTCCGGATTGTTGCTAAAAGAGTCGTGGGCTTTATTTTGTCACAATAAAATAATCAGATAAGGCACTTATTCCCTAAATGTCTCTGTGTTCTTGCTCATACTTCAACAACTTTACCCACACGCTCGCTCCATCAGCTCACCCCAGAGCGCGCTCACGTTTCGGCCGCGTGCACGCAAACACGTCACATACTCTTCAATGCACATACTCTTCGATCGCAATTCCAAAAGGTTTAATATATTCAGTGCCCGTGACTGTGGTTCTACGTCATGGTGCTACGTCCCTTAGCGGACTTCGCTAGTGGGATATCACGTGACCCCCAGGTCACACGCCAGAGAGATCAAAATAATTTGCTCCAATCACTAGCGACCCTCCTCTATAAAGGCCCCTGCACAAGGCCGCACCCCCTCTTTCACTCTGGTGCCGATTGAGATCATACTTACATCTACTACATCTACTTTGTCTGCTGAGATGTCTGCCTCGACTGCTCGTCCGATTTCCCCTTCGCCCTCCGGCGTCGGACGTCGTCGTTGCTTGGAGTGTCGGGTCAGGCTCCCGCGCACGGACCAGCATTCACGCTGTTTCTTGTGCCTGGGC